TTAGGACTTTGATGCGGATTCACCCGCGATCTTTTTAAAAAATATCTTAAAAAGACAAACTTAACCAAATAAGTATTCTTATAATACATTTATAAATCATTTACAAATCCACAACTTCCCTATATATACTTAATCCGAAAAACAATAATAAAAACGAAACGATACAGCGATAATAATTCGGAAACTACCTAATAGCAGGTCAAATTTTTAGTGTTCTTTTCAATTTGCATATTATAGTTAGCATGAGAGCTTCGCATTACCATTGTAAACGCAAATCTGATATTAGTGGATCATTTTCAGGAGGAAACTATTACCTGATCGTTGCTACGTACTTTGATAAGCAAGGTAACCATTGTAATAAAATAGCTGCTGAATAAATTAGTAGATTAAATGGAATTAGGAACTTAACACGTGTTTTGTTCTATGCGTTTTTTTATGGGACGGATCATCTAATGATAAGCAATCGGCGTCGCCCATGGACACCAGAGGCGTTACAAGTGCGTTACCGGCCTTTTGGGTTTCGGGAATTTGTTTATTGTTAGGGATTTAGGGACTGGAGAGATTGGGGAAGGAGGGGAGTTAATTGAGTCTCCGTTAAAATATAAATGCAGTTGTTCAAAATCAAAGCTAGTTTTAGACCCCGTCTCACAATGTCTCTGCTTTTGTTTAGTCTTACTGACGAATCAACAGCATCATCCCATGACAGTCCATTGCTGAACTGTTGGATTAACTACCGAATATTTTAACTTATATTTCATACAAAATGTGTCAAATGAGGCTTGATAAATATCAGCTACATTCCTAGACTCCTATCTGACTGGAAACACCGTTAAACTTTGGTCAGTTCTGAAATCGAATGCTGAACCACTAGCTTTGTAATCGGACTTGCGTGCAGCGTGCTTGGCAATGCAATATCTACTTTTCACTAATCATGTTACGAGTCCCATGTAATAGCCTATTGCCATATACCAGAAATAAATTCAGACTCCGTGCTACTACTGCGATATTTTGCATAAAACCCAGTAATACTTTGCCCGACCCAGGAATCTAACCCGAGAACCCTTGCCTGTTGCACTAGCGACCACTCAGCCAACGAGGCAGTCCAAAACGCTATCATTCCATGTAATTAGGCTAGACAAAATTAGGTTGTGTTGTCAGTGCTAATCTTTGAATAAATCTAGCTTTAAATTGAGGCTGAATTAATTTAAATGGGTTCGCGATAAGGATCTAAATGTAAAGCAGAAACATTAATGTTTTATGGTTCATTTTATTATTGTTTGCCTCATTAGTCTGTTGGTTGTAACGGTGGTCGCTGAACACGAGGTTCAGGATTTGGTAGAGTAATGTTGGGTTTCTGATGTAGGTAGATTGCCAAATGTTTTATTCTCAAGTGACACTTTTGACACTTGTGTCTAGTTTAATCACTATAAATGAAGTTCATCTAAATGTAACAGAATAAATGATACTTTAGTAATGTAATATATATATAAATGAAATGATAAACGATACATAATAACTATAAGAATAAATACTAACTTGGAAATCGCCTTTTATCGGTCCTAAAACATAGTAAGTGTAAGTGCTACGCCATTTTTTTGAACTAAATTTTCTTCACGCCAATTTGATCCGAAAATGTTGATTGATAACATTTGATTCAAGAATCACTACCCTATACCGATACAGATGTACACACGGCCACACATTAATCTATACAAAACCAGTTTATCCTGGTATCGCGTCGCATCATCTTTCCGCACATTTAACGTTCAGTTTATACTGGTTATGTAAAGCTCGATGTGTAGTGTACCATCTAAGCCTTAACGTATTGGTGTAGATGCCAATCTCAGTTAGTCAGCTTCTGGTTACTGGCTAACTAAGGACTGTCAATGTCAATCGGGAACCAGACAAAACATAACACAGATTCATTAGGGCTATCTTAGAACCCCAATACCCCAATTGTACCTCTAGACTGATAGTGTACGACAAATGAATTCAGTACCAGATTTTGTAACTTGACTTTTGATTAAACTGTCTTAAAAGTAAGTAAAGCTTTAAGCCAGAGTATATAGAAATGATACAGTACTTTCTGCCTCGTTGGCCGAGCAAGGGGGTCCCGGGTTCGATTCCCGGGTCGGGCAAAAGTAAAACTGGGTTTTAAACAAAATCTCAGTAGAAGCACGTAGTCTGGAAATGTGCCCGATATATGGTAATAGGCTCACCCCTTATTACATGGGACTCATAACATAAATGGTGAAAAGTGCGTGTTACATTGTACAGTGGTATTAAATGCCGTAACGTACACCTCTGGCTCAACCTTCGGGGATAAAACGCGTTATGTTATGATGATGATTCTTTCACACCATTCGCTAGTTATTGTTCGTATTAAATTAACTAACTGTTCCTGATAATCTGAAACTTTGAAAATTGGACGACCCTTAGCTATGTCTTTGCTGTCGCGGAGAACCTAACGGGTAACCGGGGCTCCGGCTCGACGTGCAGGAGAAGGAACGGGGTGGTTTTTAGTCAGTAAGAGTCTGACACTCCCTCCCGCTCACCCAGGCGGGAGCAGTCATTCGATGATTTCCCCCCTTAAAAAAAGCTATGTCTTTGCTAAATGCTTTTTATGGCAAATCCTCTTGTGTAGAGGAGGGTTAGAGTCCATCAGTGGACCAGCTTGGGCCGTTGATAATAATTGATGAGCTATATGATCAAACACTAGAAGTTATTGTTGACCCTCTAATACTCTATAGAGTACGCAAGCTAGTAGTAGGTCACAAGATAATAACACAAAATTACCGTATCGTGTGACGAACGAAAAAACGTATTACATTTTAGGTAAAAGCCACTGTTGCTTGTAAAACTAACAATGATAAAGACCCTAAATAAAAGCCTATTACTTAGTAGAAAGTAGCAAGTAAAACATTTAATCGCCATAGCAAATTTGTTAAAAGAAAAAGTAGAAAAACATAACACGTAACTCAAGTCATACAGACATACACAGAGACACGCAAACTTTAATTGCTTCTAATTAATTTATTACATGTATTAAACAATTAAGCGTGCGGTATCTTGATGTATTGTTATCGAATTTAGGACGCCATAGCTACGGACGACTCTGACCAATTGACTTATCTTTGAAAGCTAATTAATGGGTGCACTCATCACGCGATGTGCTCTAATTGGACGTCGAAAACAGACCAAACGTCATTTCGTTATTACTTTTCCATTTTATAAAAAGGATACGTTTGATGGCTGATACGGCGTCAATTGGCGAGATCATTGCGGTAATTTGATGTGACTTCTAATTAGACTGCCTCGTTGGCCGAGTGGTCGCAAGTGCGACTAGCCGGGCAAGGGGTCTCGGGTTCGATTCTTAGGTCGGGAAAAGTAATACTAGGTTTTAAAAAAAATCTCAGTAGTAGCACGGAATTGTGCCCGGTATATGGCAATAGGCTCACACCCTATTACATGGGTCTCATAACATAAATAGTGAAAAGTGGGTGTTACATTGTACAGTGGCATTAAGTGCCGTAATGTGCATTATGTTATGTTCTAATTGGACAAGCAAAGGTGAGAAGAAAGTCACCTATATGACAGCGACTTATCATTACTATACTTACTTGGGATTGGTTGTTTACTTGTATACATTCAACAAATAACCTCATGCTGTCCTTCAGAACTCCATTGCATTACTTCCATAATTTAGGTACTATAAGTAAAAGAAAATACGACAACATTGAATCACAAATGAACGACTGCACTGATGAGCTATTTCCTTAACAAATCAACTTACTTAGATCTAAAGAGGTAGGTACACAAAGGAAAACAATCAGAACATCGGATATGATTTATATTACATTAACTAGCTCCCCTAAAAATCCCCCATAAACTTATTTCGTGCGGTAATAAGATTGCCGGAACAACACTATGTTCACGTACATAACAAAACGAAATTAGAAATCGTCTGAGTTACGAACACCGGTAAATGGTGAAACGATTGCCAATTTACCAACCCTACCCTGTCTTAATTGACGCAGACTACTCCTTAAACTAACGGGGGTAGATAGCGAAAGTAATTTGTCATCGGTTAGCTAAGCATGGTGGGGGGGAGGGCGCACTCGCGGGCCAACCTCCGCGAAGGTAGCACGTCTCCACACTAATGACATCCCGCATAATTAGGAACAGCCACCATCTACTAATTACATAAATTGCCCACTAAACTTGGCTATAATTTTGCTTCGCGTTTAAACGGGGTAACTGCTTGAGAGTTGGTACGGACTGGTTTAAATTATTACAATGTGATATATACAGATTTACAAACATACATAGGTATGTGTAATCCAGTTTTGTTTGATATTGAACTGGTTACACGCAAGTAGGATCTAGTGTTGCAGGCATTAAATTGTAGAATGTATTATGTGGCAGCGACAATAGATAACGCTACCTGTAACGTTGGAAGTACACTGCGGGCGCAACTTAGGTACGCACCCGGATCCGACTGGCGGGAATTCACCACAATGATTACACTCGATTGACTCCAATTCCCTTGCGGGTCTGTGGGATAGACTCTTATTAAGTAGGTCTCTACTTTTCCCTACAAAAGGAACTCAAATATCATGACCTACACTTTTAGAGCAAGCAGTCGTTCCACCATGCCAAATTAAATACATAATGATCTTGTTGTAAGATGATATTGAACGTTGTGTTTAACACCAACTTATAGTTAACTCATTCTTCAGAACTTAAAACCGTTGGTCCTCTCAAACAAAACATGATCCTGATTCATGTTTTAAGGTTTAAAACCTATGGCATTAACCATTCATGTGTCTATAACGCGGATCCACGCGAGACACAATATTATTGTGTCTGATATCAGTGCATTCTACTGGTTAAATATCAAAATGAAATACACAGGATACATATGACACATATCCCAAACAACTTTTATACAAAGCAAAATATTTTTTCTTCAAACACTAAATAACATTATCTAACCACAGATCAACCAACAATCAGCCAGTCATCGAGCAACGTAGTGGACGGTATCAACTTGGAAGACATCAAGGAATTCGCTAAGGCCTTCAAACTTCGACGGCTTGGGCTAGGCCTCACTCAGACCCAAGTCGGACAGGCCTTGTCCGTCACCGAAGGGCCTGCCTACAGTCAAAGCGCGATTTGCAGGTACAGTCTAGTTTAACAACTTTATTAAGTGTTGCCTTTAGTGAGAATAGATCTTTATAGGTTGCCTTGTAATACTATTTTTGTTGCTGGACACGAAGTGGTGCACCCAAGAGACCATAAACAGTTTGTCACTACAAGCAGCAATTAAAAGTCCCGTAACATTTCCAACGTGTAATTAATATACTGTAACGGTATCTTGCAATATGTAATATGTACACGTGTTCCATTTTACAATCTTCCTTTTATTCCGTACACACATTAAAATCACCTTTATGTATGTATAAAGTCCAGCAACTTACATACAGATAGACTGTACCTATTGTTCTGTCTACAATCAATTCCGAATACATATTTGAATAAATCCAAACTTCAAGGAAACCGTTACGGCTACTTCAAAGATATAGAACACACGACCACAGCTTAAAAATTAATGTTGCCACTTAATTGTTGTTGTTAATACAGTGTCTAATTAATCAAAGAAGAAAAGAATATATAAAAAACGATCTGATGATATCTTACTTGTAACCGAAGGAGATAAAGTCGCACGCTTGTCAAAATAATGTGACCGTTTGCTGGCAACATCGTGGGGCTGACAAAAAAAGGTTCAAGAATCGTTTTTATAAATGTCGTCACGCAGGCCGGCGCTCGGTTATCATTCCAACTTTTTAATATCGTTAATTGAAGTGATTTGTAAAACAGCATGACTCCTTTCATTGCTTACAATTCGTTTAATTAATTACCATTCGGGTGGCTTCCGTTCCGCTCACTGTGTCGTGGCTTACACCATTTTTTACTCGCCTAGGCGCGGACGCGTGCTTCCTAATTATTTTTTTCTATTATTACGAATTGATTCGTGTTCTTTCTAGGTAGATACCTACTATTCCTTTTCACATTTAGGTAGTAAACCTTTCATGTCTAATGGAATTGACAAAGATGTCTAACATTACTCTAATGAAGTTTCGATTCTTATACGAAAAATTTAAGAATCACGATTTAATTCAGGAACCGACACCAATTTATAAACAAAGATAATAAATATGTTATGTACAAAAAGGGTAAGCTCCTGATAGCTCTTAACTCTTATTTATCTATCGATGCTTTTATAAAATCATTCGATACGAACACGACCACCTGAGAAACTAAACCTGAAATACAGAAACACGAACTTTCTTAATTGTTGATCTCGTATGTTGCAATTACATCATATTAAATTAATTCTTTTATTTCAAAATTGCTACAACTTACAAACAATTATACTGGTTTGACGGCCGATCGAAGTTGGAAATAATATTTTTCTCGACTTACCTTATACTACGTAAATCGACAAATTAATCACGCTTCAGCACAGCTTTACGCTCATAATGTTTAATTGAATCAAATCACTCGAAACAACGTTGCCCGTGAACAAATCGAATTTCGATGCAAAACGGAATGCGACCGGCACAAGCCGAAGGAAATTTCAATTCCGAGCCACCCCCGACGACCTCCTTCGTATAATAAAATCATTAATCGTTACTTCTGTTCCAGTTAATTAATTATCTTGCCGTAATTACTTTTTTCGTGTAATTAAAAAGAGTAGAATTCCCCTGTCTTTGTTCTGTCGTGATTTCATTTCCCATTAATTTTTCTTTCGTCTCCCTCCAATTTGGTGTCGTGACGTCGCTACATGGTAGTTACCCCTTTCATTATACTGGACTTAATTAATTTGCATTTTAATTAAAACATATTATTGTTTTTGAGAAAAGAATTCCATTTAGTGGTACTCGTTCCATCTCACTGGAGCTTTTTGTTACCGAGTTCACAATGGGCTAAAGTCAACAAAACTCTTTTTAATCATTTTCACAAACTCAAGGCGTTTAGCTACCCAAATCTAATTTAACCAAAGAATCCTATAAAAACATTTCGAAATTGTTAAAGCAATAAAACTTTTTAGCGTCGACCAAAAGTGTCAACATCGTGAATCACGTTGATGAACTGTTTATTAAAGCGATATTATTTAAAAACCGTTTGAAATATACCATATTGATCTGTTTTGAACACAATCAGGCGCATGGTCATTGCCACTTGGAACGATGTCAATAACAAAATATTGAATTAACCATTAACCCTGGTGCGAGTGCATTACAATTTCATATGAAGTACAATGCGTCAGGGCATCTCGTAGCAGCATAATATAAAAGTTAAATAACCAATAAATAACACATCCACGTCTTAAACTGGATAAATCCCGAATAATATCGTTATGAATATTTTATTTCCTTTCCAAATGATATTGATCAACAGAGCGTGGCCGTATGTTTGCCCCATGCATTGTCTGTACTCTAGAATATATCGTAAAATCTAACACTTATGTAGCGACATGATAGCGTGCGACTTTGTTCTTAATCTTTCTAGATTTGTGAGATGTAGTGATGTTGCTCCCGTTCACTCCGGCGGAGCACCGTCACCGTCACTGGATCCGACATAATCTAACATAATATTTGTTACCGTCCCCAGTGCCCTGGCTTCGCAGATGCTAGCAGCTCAGCTGTCTTCACAACAACAAAACATGTATGTGTTTTGTTTTTTATCCCTACACACAATATCTCCAAATTTATCTTCATCAATCCTGCATCCACTTGCATGCAAATAGAATTTACTCAGTAGAAACATTTTCATAATGGTGCTAAGATAATGGAGATAAATTCGTAGATACTTAACATACATTAAGTACACGCTTTGGCTCACTTATATCGGCCGAGTCCACACGCAGAATGTCTTTAAATCAAAATGTTTCAACGCTGTTTAATGTAATCTTATCTCAATCGGCGATCCGTGCATACCTTTTGAATGTATGCCGTATATAATTATTTGTAATTACCGGTTTTGACGTTCTTTCTTTTCCTTTTCACACGTGTACGGTATTTGCATTCGGGTAATTACAGCGAAGGCGCCATACATCATACGGCCGAGTTACATTTTGATGTTAAGACAAACGCGCTACACTAATGCGCCGGCTACCAAACCATGTCGATTCGACACTATGAGTAATCGCTGTGAGAACTTTATCACTTTTATTATTTGTAACATCTCGATGAGTAATATCTAACTTTCCATCTAATATAGCATGATGTATTATTTTCATTACTCTTATTTTTATTAATATTCATTTTGCGCAATTCAAAGCCAGGGCATTGGCATACGTTACGAGTACCTTTCGTTTCCAACTGAATTCGTTGTTTTATTGTTACCTTGTTCGGTATTAATCAAACTGATTACCTCGGCAGACTAAATTGCCTATTGTTTTTTTCTCTCTCTAAAATCGTTAACGCAATGTCAATGTCCTGTGTTTATGCCTCTGTTAATTTGGATCGGGTAAAGAGTAACATCGCGTTCTGTAAAGGTGCTTCGCGGTAGATTTTCATTTGACCGGTGCTCGCATAGCAAAGTCTAACATTACATTTATGTTCGATACAGATTTGAGAAATTGGATATAACACCAAAAAGTGCGCAGAAAATCAAACCGGTGCTCGAACGTTGGATGAAGGAAGCTGAAGAGAGGTAAATATTTGTTTGAGTGAGTTATGTTCGTGGTAATGTGCTACACCGTGTTCGTGAAACATTTGGCCTATAATGCTTAGCAACGTTGTGAAAGACATTTCTCAAATCTGGACTAACTAATGCTTTACGGGCTAGGCTTTATGTTTATTTGGATCCGCTGTACGACTAACATCTAACACTTACCGTTACCCAAAGTTAGGAATAACTAATTTCTTCTCGTCTATTCCTGAAATTAGTTGTTCCTAATTTAGGTGTTCATCTCCGTCGGGTTTAACACTGGCTTTATCATGCATGTTTAGTTCTTATGGTGCGGTTGTTTAGTTTGGGCGTATTATTATCGTATTCGTTTAGTTTTAAACGTTTGTCATCGATTTAGAATCACTATAGTTTTAATGGTTTTCGTTTTAGGTGTATCGTAAGTGTCTTCTGTCCAAAACTATTGATCTTAATTTGGTTTCAACTTTCCAAAGCAATATGTATACTGTCCTAAATTAACAAAATTAGTGTAACACACCTAGATTACACCAAAATTGTTAATATCAATTAAGTTAACGTCCCTAGAAACCTATGAATCACTTCCCGGAACGTCTTAGAAAGTTGTGGACTTATGAAAATGTTTTGTAATATCATAAGATTGTTCTATTATCATGAATGTGAAATCGAAATTTTCGATTCCGCGAACTAATAATCTCGGTTATATTGTAACAAAATATGGGTTTGGTTTGATCCAGTCCAAATTTTGATAGGGTTATCTAAACCAATTTGATGTCAACAACAATTTTAAATTCATGCTTCCGATGAAATTACGCATCAGGGCCTGGATAAAACAATAACATCCACGTAAGAGTATACAATGAATAAAAACCAGAAATATTTGAATAAACTCCAAGCTTATATAACAAAGAACATCATGAACGAAATGAAGACAACACTTAACCAATCAACGAACCCCTTTTTTCCATAACATTTCAAACTAAACCAGGTGTCACTTAAGTCTTCAACCACGCCGTAATGACGCCATAAGATGTCCCAACAGGATCTATCGATCGACATTTTGCATCATTAAAATGCATTATCTGGATGCAACGCTTCGGTTTAACATTGCAAATGGGTGCATTGAATTTGCAATCGGTCCCTCTTGGTGGTAATTTTTAACGACCGCCTCTGTTGGCTATAGTCCTTGAATTAATTCCGTTGTAACTTGGGGATCTCGTTAATTTATTATTAAGAACTAGGTACATCTATTATTGTGTGCTCAGTTGTTATAAATGGAGCCGGAGCTAACAATTAATGTCGGAAGCAAAGTACTGCTGTCGAATGAACTAGATTGGCAGCCTTCGTCTATTTCTGTAAAGAGGGCAAAAGTTAAAAAGCAGCGATACGGCTTAAGGAGGCTAATTGAAAGTTTTCTGGACATTATTCGAGTCTTTTAAAAGACAGATAAAAATACATACTCTTACGGCCATTTTCTATAACTTATCTATCTGTGGATTTGCTTACTGAGATAGAATTTTGACACAGTTTGTATTGGAAGCTTATGTCAAAATTCTATCTTAGTATGCAAATCTACAGATAGATAGGTTATAGAAAATGGCTGTTAATCGTTGAATAAATATGCCAACCCAGCTAATCGGTGACATAGATTCTAATAAATACATAAGTCATGGAAAATATATAAGAGAATGCATGTATGTAAGATAATTCAAATGACATTGGCATTATGAAACCAGAGCAAGGCTTATTATTACCATCAGCCGTTCGATATTAAGTTTATTATGATTGTTGATACATAAGTTTACATAATCGTTGTTGACACGTATTAGGGTTCAGTCATTTTTGTACTAAAGGAGTGCTGTACAATTACGAAACTAATGATCTTCTTCATAAGACTTACTTTCGTGATTGTATACAGTCGTTAAAAGCATGCTTTATCAAACTGTTTAGACTCATCAACAAGTCGGTTAGGTACCAATAATGCTTCTGCTTCAGCTTTTACTACGAAAAAAACGTTCATCGAATTCGTTAGAGGTTCGATTAGCGTTGTTTTCGCAAGCCTATGCAATGCACCGACAACTTAATTCTAGAACTTTTGTATTCTATTACAGAATGTGTAAAATATACTTCTCATTATTTTTTACCCAAACTTCGGCCTTACCACAGGAGCTATAAGGATCACAATAAATAACTACCACTAACGCCTGCTTTATCACCTTTCCTAAGCACTTAGTACAAAACAGGGACAATTTACACAAGGACCGGTCGAATTATAAGTTCTTGCAGCAGCTCATTGAAAACTCTGTTCTAATACGATGTGCTAAAGTTTATTATTCCGATCATTACAGGTATGCTTCTGGACAGAATCATCTGACGGACTTTATAGGCATGGAGCCGAGCAAGAAAAGAAAACGACGAACCTCATTCACTCCTCAGGCTTTGGAACTACTTAACGCGCATTTCGAAAGGAACACACATCCTTCAGGTGAGTTAAACAATCCTTACTAATATTATAAATCGGAAAGTGAGTTTGTTTGTTTGTTTATTTCTTCCACTTTCGCGCCGTAACTACTAAAGCGATTGCTTTGAATGTTTGCAGACGTGAAGTTAGAAGTCTGGATTAAATAATAGGGTACTTTTTATCCCGGAAAAATTTGATATTCTCGAGGGAAAACGAAATTATTGGTATAGATGGCGCGGTATGTATTGGTATATGTCACATAGGCTACTTTTTATCCTTTTGTGACGCGAGCGAAGCCGCGGGTAAAAGCTATAAAGCTCTAATCCTATCTTCTTTCTTCAACTGCCTGTTATACCTGAAGATTATCTTTTAACCTGTTTGGAGAACACGTTATCTGAAGTCTTCTGATACGCCATCAAACTGAAATTAGTTCAGAGGAGGTTTCAACTGCAGAAGATTTACTTATTAACTTCAACCTACTTTGTGTGAAGTCGTTTAATTAATATAACCTTCTCCTAAATGTAGCAAACACTTTTCTGAAAACCGCATTAACATGGGTTCAGCCAATCGTTAGATAATCGCGCACAAACATACAAACATACATACAGGATGAATTAAAAATAATTAATATTACACTTATTCCATAGTGACATAATATATCACCTTGTAACAAAGGAAAACGACATTATTAGATGTAATGTGCCTACTTTACCTTGGGCTACAAAAACTGATGCTATTGTTATATTTTTTCAGGCACTGAAATCACTGGACTGGCACATCAGCTCGGCTACGAACGCGAGGTCATCAGAATATGGTTCTGCAACAAACGACAGGCTCTCAAGAACACCGTCAGAATGATGTCCAAAGGCATGGTGTAAACACCAGCGTAAACCCCTGTACACAACTGCGAATTTTGGACATAGTCCACAAGTCCATTAAAAAAGGTCCATCGTATTAGTTTGTAATCCAGCAATGGACACTGAATTCTATCCAATCTTTTCCATTTGTGTACAGGCACACAAAACGACGACAGTTACTTTAGTGATGGGGTGCGACAATGTTATCGATATCGATGGTTTCGCTTTAACATCTGCACGTAGATTCGTGATCTCGTCTCGATATTCAAATTAATTTATAATTTGCATCGATAGTGTCTTATTTATGAAGGCGAATGTTTCTTTTTGGTTTGTATTGATGAAAAGTCTGGCCTTACCGCAATCTTTATGCGATTCCAGCCAATATGAAACATGGAAAGTAGATAATAGTATTAAGTGTAACGTAAATGTATTATAAAACAAATTTCGACTGAAATATTCGTCTCGATGTAGTTTACAATGATATGAATGGAATGTCGTAGCGATTAATGTAGGTGTTTACTAGTACAAAGTAATGAAATTGAATTGTCGAAATCACTTTACCATTTCCAATGTTTCCCATTGTCATTATTTGTATTTTAAAACTAAACGGATTATTCAAGAAGGATAAACAAACAGTGTTAATGAAATAGTAACTTTTACTCTTTTCTTAAGCATCAGTGTAGCGAAACTCACGAAGATGGCAACTTATGTTTCATACATGAAGAAATAGTGTAGCTTCCAGGTTTTCTTTTGTAAAAAGATTGCATTTTGTAAATAAGTACAATATGTTTAATTTTCGTCATTGACAATGTAATGTAGCTGATACATTAATTTATTAAAATACTCTGAGTTGTTTCGTTCTATTAGCGAATGTTGCACTTTAGATTTAAGACTAATATCGATATTATGACAGTAGTTAAAATGTGTCGTCAATCTTAGTACAGCCTACTAAGATTTTTTTATTAATCTGTAGTAGGTTTTTGTTGATAGATAGGTATAAAACGATATGTATAGATTAATTAAATATAATTATTATCTAATATTGCCGTAAATTGTAAATATTGTTTTCGTAATATGATTTTAATGAAATGTATTATTAGTTTTATGTATTAAGTATAATTTCATAGCTTTTTAAAAAAGTTTTATTGTAATTAGGCAGTATTCAAGTTGGATTTTGTGGCGATATTAACGTTATTACTTTGATTTTTTCATCCAGCAGTTTGTTTACAATTGGAATAGTTAATATTCACATTTTCATAGAAATACAAGTAACAGGGGGTCTTGAATTTAAATGTTAGATGATTTTAAAGTGCATATTTCTCGGACGTTGACTGTTAAACTAATAAAATTGCCTCGCATTTGGAAATGTAGATTTTGAAGAGTATACTTATGATATGTAGATTTTCCAAAAATACTAAAATTTGACGTTATATATAATTATGTTTTAAGAAATAAATGCGTGCGAGAAATATGCTGAAATAAAATTTTATAAGTAAATAAAGTATCGTCGAAGAAACACAACATTTTAGATATTGTTAAAATAGAATACTTACTCGGTGTTTCTATTTGGTGTGCGCACGTAATATTTAAAGTACCTAATGTTGTCATAAACAAAATTCGATTGTTTTGCAATTGTGTCGTTGCATTATATCACCACGTCTCCGGAGACAGGTGCCTTATCGATATTTCGGAAAATACAAATTGAAAAACCGTGATATTTGCTGATTTATTTCAAAAGTTTGGTGGTTGACTAGGTATAAAAAAATCCTTTTGAAAAGTATACTTTGTATAACATTAATATACTTCCAAAAATCATACCTCTCGCAAAATATCACATACCTATGTAAATAATTTAGTTAGATAGTTTTCAAATAAAGACCTGCTGTTAACTGTATTACCAATAGTAATAAGGCTGTAATTGTAATATTGTATGTTAATGACCAATGAAAACCAACTTGTGATCATTAATATTTGTACTGTTACCTACTACTTAACAAGAGTCGTTAAAAAAATAATATTATAAAAATTGAACATATTTTTCGGCTGTTGAAAAATTGTAAATACAATATTAAGGATAATAAAACTATTTGGATTAATATTTAGGAACAAAGGGAAAAAATATTATCAAAATTTATATTTTCAAAAATATTACAAATGCAAAAAAGCGTATTTAAAAAAAGGAATGTTTGGCCATAAACTAAAAAATCATATTCACGGAAAGGGTTTTTTATCGACTTAAGCACACCACAACACTACACAAGCCACGATCAGTAAGGTAAACAGTGACTAAAAATTGTGCGATGCGATGTTGCACGTAATGAGTACATATAATAAGGAGTCAGGTTTCTCATTTATAAATCAAATAGTGCCCTTGTTATTGCAAGTCATTTCTTTAGGAAAATAATTCTTTACACTTTTCTAGAAGACAAACGCCATTAAAGTCTTTTCACGTTTTTAAATGTAATAAGATTAATATTGCAATTGATAGGTACTCATGAAAAACCTGATTCCCATCAAACATTAGCGTAATAGAATGAGCATAGAATGCTAAGTACAAATGACATAATTTAACGATAAACTGCTAGTCCCGTTAAACGTAAATAATAATTAAAATTATAATAATAATTACTATGCAAAATCGCGTTGCACCCTGGTTTTCATGATCCACATGTATCTATAATAATAATAGTAATACAATTATAAAAATCTACACATAATTTCAGCTGTAACACATATTCAAACCAAACTATAACAGTATGTAATAGTGTATTAATTTTTTCTTCCTATAATGGTACCGAACGAATGATTATGGCTGCTGGTTTATGAAGAGAAGCAGAATAAAGGCAGATAACTGTTTGATTGCTTGTTTTATTCATTTTTGCACACCCTTGCACCCACTTACAGAGAAATAGGTACCTTAACCCAGTACAAACTACTTATAAGTAGGTAACAATTTATTAGAAAATAAAAGTGCATTTGTAGCTTTGGTTGGTTAAAGGGCACTCGCCGAGTGGTCGCAATTGCGACTGCCGGGCAAGGGGTCTCGGGTTCGATTCCCGGGTCGGGCGAAGTACTATTACTTTTTATATTACCTATGTAGGTACTGGTTTCTTTTTAATTTCCAAATAATAGCACGGAGTCTGAAATTGTACCCGGTATATGGCAATAGGCTCACCCCTTATTACATGGGACTCATAGCAGAAATAGTAAAAAGTGGGTGTTACATTGTACAGTGGCATTAAGTGCTGTTATGTGCATCTCTGCCTACACCTTCGGGTATAAAAGGCGTGATGTTATGTATGCATTTGTAGCGTGATTAGAACATAGGTACTAGATACTGTATTTGACGCTGACGCTCACTTCTGATTGGATTTTTAAAATAATATTAACAATAATGGTAATATATTATAGTACAGTAACTGTAAAGTACCTCCTTAAAGTTTTTCACAAAGCTTTCAACTTAACACAGTAAAAATTATCGAATGAACTGTCGCCGACTCACCGATAGTATTTCTGAACCGATACGACCTCAAACCTTCAAGAAAAGAGCTTAAATAGGTACTCCTTCATAAAAGGTTACCTACTTGAGACTCCTTTGTGTTGCAAGTAGTATCCATAGGTGGCGCTAATAATAAACCATCAGGTAATCCATCTGCTAGTTTTCCCACTATTCCATAAAAAACAGTAACAAGATGAGATTTTAGAAATATTTTGGTTCTTCAGATAACAATAGTATAAATTCTTAACAAATGTTCATAAAACTAGCCCTACGTGGAAGCATAAAAGTAATAAAACCAATTCAAAATAAAATAAAATAGAACAAAAAAAGCGCACAATACTTTTAAAATGCGCGCGCCATATAAGCTGTCAATATGTTTGAATGATACCATACAATATTAACTCTTCAAGGTTGCCAACCACATACAATTACTATTCAAAAGTATACTGATGTAACTTATCTTTTAAAGCAATTCTTTATTATTGATATTACACAATTTACGTCTGGTTCATAATTAATAATTTATCTAAAGGATAAACGTGGATAAATATTTCATTCAAGCAATAACTAAACGTATAACGTTCAGTAGTGATGCGAAGCGATCGATAAGACTAGCAATTTATTTGTGTCTATAAAAAACTTATCTTAGCATGGAATTATTGTGAATTTATTAACAGTTTGTCTATTTATTAATAAGTAATAAACAAATGTGCAATGTTAACAATCTATTTTGTTGGTTTTCACTTCTGGCTGATAAAATATAAACAGTAATACCATTCCTACCCCTCATCGACACTGTTTGAGCGAAAACATAATCTTAATTTGATAAAATTAATTACAATCAGTCGAGCTCCACTCTGAATTGTTCATTTGCATGCATTTCTAAGTATTTATCACAAAATTCTTTATCTAGTACCTTTTAAACAAAAAACGATTCGCAGAACAAACTCGATCATAGCTAATAACATTCAAATTACTTTCATTTTAATGTTGTTAGTCGTCAAGCATTCGTCGTCATTGCTAAATTGACAAACTATTTTTTTTTTCTTTTCATAAACGTCAAACCAAGTGTACAATTTTCGATACTTTGCACCTCTGTCAGTCGCACGGTCGCATCACTATTCGTCGTCTGACAATATGGCGGAATTTCTTATCAGCAAAGCAGTGAATTTGTAAAATATTTGACGAAAATAGCTATTTATAAATAGAACTTAAAACAAGAACAGATTATATTGAGTAGAAAGGACCTATTTAGCGCCGAGTGGTGTCTTGCACTGTTTACATTAGTTACAAAAATAACCGCGTACCGAAATATTTAATTGAACATCTGACAATAATAATAAACATGAACATTATGTTTGAGAAGCATTCAGAGCGATAATTTGCGTAGATAATTACGTCACGGCGGCCTCATGTGTCGGGATTACCGTTTGTGCATCGTGAAGATACGCTGTGAAGGTCCATAATGATTCATGAGGTTAATTGAGGTTTTACTTCGATAATACGTAATTGGTCCGTAAGCGTTACGCGATAAGTGTGTGTAGTTTCGCCTTCATCGGGCGTTGACTCGTCTCGCAGGAATCCGGTAGAAACGCAAGTGACTAATTGATGAAATGATCGAGAGTGTATCAAGACGTGCCTTTAGCAGTTCCAGTGGAACATACAACGTGCGTGCTTCGGAGCTGGCGCGCGAACGCAAACTCAACATCTTCAATGTCACTGTGCAGTTTCTGGATGACACCCAGCAGTCATTTCAAATCGAGGTAAATACTTGTTTACTAAACTAGGTATTCATATTTAGATCCTTATTGGATTCCAAAGAGGTAGAGGTCTTAACATCATGTATTGTATCAGCAGCAGGATATAGGTGGTTAGATTTCTTATCAGACTCTTGTGAATGGTCCAAACACTCTGTAAATAGTGCCCTATCTAATGAATATAATAGTATCAATTATTTGCCTATTTCAGGAGTCATTTTTTCCTATCAATCTATCATTATTCTAGGAGTATGAAATATGTATCAGCAAGCAATATTACATTGACTCATGAAACAAGTTGAAGTTTCATACACAAGTACCTACAGATCAGGAATGTGTTAGAGTAATAGGTTACTCTAATATATTCCTGATCTGTGCCTGTATATTATCGTAATAGACTCACCCCTTACCTAGGACTAACAATGTAATGGTACAAATAGACTACGACACTATACACTCCATATCAGTCTTATTCATACCTTAACTGGTGAAAAGTACCTAGGTTTTTTACATCTAATATGTGCACTGTCTGACCTATCATCTGTGTATATGTACCAGCTGCAAGCTGCAAGTCTACAAACTACATGTTGAAAATAAAATTATATTAAAAACAATTCTCGTACCTCATATCTTGCCTTGAAAATAATCTCTTCCTTAATTTGATTTAATTAACACTTTAATCTTAACTAAATAAAGGTTAATTACAAATTGACTCATATTGACATACATACCTGGTGAGAAGTGGATGTTTGTGGTATTTATGTGCTCCGAAAGCCGAAACCAGTACCTGATCTTCATACAAAATCTTTGGATAAGATTGATTTTTTTCATCAGTTGTAATGTGCTCCCGTCAAATTAAGATTGATCTAAATCTAGAGGTTTTGAACTCAGATGAAATTAGATTTGAACTGTACATCAGCTCCTTTGAATTATTTAAAGAATATTAAAGTCATGTTTTCTATTAACCAGTGTTTGACCAGGTAAAGTTTTGATAACATTGAGTCATGAATTTTGGAGGTGGTTTTAAAGTCAATGGTTATTGTTATTGCTTAATGAATTAATTTCAAATGATCATAATTGACCAGGCTAGTCATTGGATCACACACCTTATAGGATTTTAAAGTGTGATGTGTGACTGATAACCAAACAATTGGTCGAGTGTTGAGAATTGAGTTTAGTTAAATAAAGTTTGTCAAAACTGCTGACGTTAAATATTACCTATATTATACTTAATGTGTTTGTAGTATAGAACATGTAGTCTAAAATATAGTTCTTTGGTCTTTCCAGAAAAAAGCTAAAGGCAGCGTTCTACTAGAACAAGTGTATCAACATTTAGAACTAGTAGAGAAAGATTATTTTGGGTTACAATTTACGGAGAATGGATCGCCACCCAACGCCACAAACTCAGAAATAACAGTAAGTGTTAAAATTTTTAAGTATAAGTAATGAACGTAACTATTTGTAATAGAAATCAATAGTTACTATGAACAGCAGTAAGAAAAATTGAAGCTTTATAATGTAAACTTATAATCAAGTCGGTTTTAGTGGATATCCCAGCCAACAAATCATCATTTTATATATGGATATACACACCCATAACTTGTTTATTATTAAGGAAAAAGTGCATAAAATTGTTTGTGCCTATAAAATAAACCTTGATTATAGAATAACATTTGGTCATGATTTCTGACTGCTTAAATCTACGGTTTGCCTTAACATTATTGCTACTAATTTCCCTAATTAAACCATGTATATTATATTTTTATCAAATACTATTATTTGGATACATTGAGTTGAAAGGCTGGAGCTCCTGAATTATTCTTGTCCTACAGTCCACTGCTAGATTATACATCCTCTACATAGGAGAATATGCCTAAACTCATGCTTGACTGATGAATACAGGTTACAGTTTAAATACTTTTTAATTTCAATAGTCTAACAGATTACTGGCAACACCCTTGCTGGCCAATATTAATAAATTAATATTCTCCACTGCCATTACTAGCCATATATGTAAAATACAAGAACCAAAAATAACTATGTCCAGTTCAAACTATTCAGCAGCATGAAAGAGAAGGAACGACATATGACAAATATCACCATCTCTTTTCCTCCTAAACACAATGAATTTAAACAGATGACTGTTGGTTACATAATTGTTTGAGATTTATTGGTCTAGTTGTGAAGTAAAGTAGGTTAATTGTTGATATAGCGAGTCCTCTGTTTATATCTATATTTACTAGGGTGATGTAGTTGTTTACATTATAGATTTTGTGTTGATTATGTTTCGATAGTATTCTAAAGTGGTCTAGTATTAGTACCTACAGTATAAAAACTATCTTATGTCGAAATACTAAAACTTCACTCATTTTTAAGTCGCGCTTAAATATACATAGTTCTGTCTCTACAAATTATCTGTAAAATGACAGAGATGGCACGATATTTATATAACTTCAAATTGAGTAGTCTTTCAGTATTCGGGCGTTAGATTTACAATATTGATTTCCACTTACGAACAGAAATATTTGACTTCAGAGAGCTTAGTACGAGTTTGTTTTACGTTTAAAGTAATCGAAACGAGACAGCGTTCAGCGTTCTGATTGGTTGGTTTATTGGAGCCGGCCAATCAGAGCGCCGAACGTCGTACGAAACGAGTACGACACTCGTACTAAGACCTCAGATCTTCTACTCTGCAATCTTTAGCCACATTTGCAATGGTTCGTTATTACATCAAAGCAATACGTTATTGTTTTCTAATTTCTTGCAATATAAATAGGGCAAAGATGCCATAATTAATAATGTTACTCTTAATGTTGTCTTCAGGCCAATAATAATTATAATTAAATTACGATAATTCTCGGAATGGATACCTAATTCTGGATGGGTCTGGGTGTCATGTGTATGTATAATGTAAGTTTGTAAACACAGCCACGACACAGGAGAATATCCTAAAGTGGGGCAACGTTAAAAATAAATCTACCAAGTTTTCTACTCTGCAACTTTAACATGTAGTACTTTTACGAATCAAAACATGTATTATGCAATCTCTAACCACGTTTAAAAACCCACTTCAATTCCCTCTTTTTTGAAGGTGGTTCATTAATATACTAAAAACTTCTACCTAAGTTTAGCCAATCACGAGACTGGGTTCACTGTCATTGCAGCGGTAAGTCCCCTCTTTGAGGAGTGGCTCGCTACGGCGTCCTCACCTACCGCCGGACACGGAAGTTTCGGTAGGTTCCTGTTTCGGTGGGAGGAAACGCCCGGGTGTCATCGGGTGAGATGAACACCACCGTGTCCTCAAGGATGTCATCGGCGACGGCGATCTCTCTCGTCCGGCTCTAGTTCAGACTATACAGACAGCGAGCATGGGTGACTTGCCGCCCGACCAGAACCGTGAACGCGTACGGCACGTCGCATTCCGCGCGCGCCTTAAGGAGCCATCAGACCACCACAGATAGGGCCCAATAGGGCTGATGCCGATACGGAGTTGCGGAGGGCTTAATGGGTTGCTGTAGCTCCGGCTCGTGCAGGAGTAGGAACGGGGTGGTTTTTAGTCAGTAAGAGTCTGACACTCCCTCTCGCCTCACCCGGGCAGGAGAAGTTATTGAATGATTTTCCCCCCTCAAATAAATGCCAATCACGAGATAAGCGCGCTCAAACATACATACATACTTATTAGTCAAACTGAGAACCTCCTTTTTTCTTTTCGAAGTCGGTTAATTATTCAAATACATAGCTTTCAATTTAATTGTAACTTTGATTTTACCAGAATGGGAATCAGTACCTACGTATATTATTGATTCTCATTTCCTCCACACACCCACTACAATACAATACTGAACTAAAGTTCCTGTATTTAGACCTACTGAGAATTGCAATATGGAAAAACATGAACAAAATTGATTAAGACCAGTCTTCCTCAGAATTAGGACTTCCAATTATACATGCACTTTGATTTTTTTACATTTTGCTGTTAAACAAATTATTTATTTACATATTTTGAACAACTATTTTAGAACTGTCCTGAGACTAGACTCTCGAAAACTTACGTAGGTACTCAGAAAGTGCGGCTATGAGCCCCTATCATGATTTGAAACTAGTTGAGCACCAAGAACTATTACGCAAGCAAAACGTGTTATCTAATTAAGCTGTACCACTTTATTATATTACGTCGTTAACAATACAACGAGGCAGACCAGACTGTTCTCACATTAATCATTCGTTAAAATTCATTAAGAAAAATTCGCATTAATTGCACCTGTTCATTTTTTATTGCTTGTTAGCGTGTCAGTGAGACAATATCTATGATTCATATTATTATAATCAATACGATTCATTCTTAAATCGCAGAAATTCATACACGAACACTGGATTTTTTAAATGGCGCAATGTCATGATATGAGTCATATTTGTAGTGTTCCAAGTATTTTATTATGGTTTCAACAGCTGTCCGTCTAGTTTTATAGTTAATGGTGTCTTTTAATGTCTCATGCATTCAGCACCCTGCTCTGAGTCATATCCTGAACACATGTCGGGGATGAAATCTTGCCCCATAATGTGTCACTTTTGGATCTGTGTCCTGCTGTGTGTTCCTTGCTTGTTCTTATAGAGAAGCGAATTATTCTAAGGATCAGTGAAAAATATAGTTATAAAACTAACTTCAAGCTATATTAAGTAAAAATCACGGGTTACTCACGTGAATATAAGTACTGAGAAAGTGAGCTGCGCGACGTCGCCGCGACCACGCACACTGCTCATGAGATAGAACCCCTATGTAGTTCGAAACTAGTAGAGCTTTTCTCAATATTTTCATAGGAGTAGGTAACCTGCGATATTTAGTAACATACTAACTCCAAGCGTTTATTTGTTCGGAATTGTATGCAATTTCACCCGTGTGCAGTGGATAGCTACGAAGCGGTTCATAAACTTCATGTACTTCGGAAAGGAAAGTTGAAGTAGGTACCTATAAATTCGTGAACGTTCGAATACCGTAAGCGAAACTTCATGCTGGGGACGTAATAATGTAAGTTTGTGATGTCGATTACGCCAAAAACGGCTGAACGGATGTAGATGAAATTCGGCACACAGATGATAGATTATGACCTACAAACAGGATTATACTTGTATTGATAACACGGAAGAATGAATTATTATGTTTTCGGCTTACTCACGTATTAATTCGACGAGGAACTCGACTAGTTTCAACAATACAAACATATTAATTTATTTAGTATGTCTCACGAAAGTTACAATACAAATACGGAAGAATGAGTTTTGGATTGTATTTTTTGTATGTCTAATTGTCTATTTAAAGTATAGAAATTTTATACTTTTTAAAGTTTTATGATAGCAATAACAATTAACAATCTATCAGGCCAATAAGGCGATCTAAAAAAATATGTACACACGACCACACATCAATCTATACAAAACCAGTTTAACCTGGTGTCGCGTCGCATCATCTTTCCGCACATTTAACGTTCAGTTTATACTGGTTATGTAAAGCTCGATGTGTAGCCGTGTGTACATACCTACTTTTGACATCATTTTTGTTCTCAGACGTTTGTTTACTTGAATTACGTCGTTATTAGCATTTAGCAGTGTGTGTAAAGTGACGGTATAATGCAAAAAAGAAATACCATGTACCTACCTTCGTATTTTTCCGTAAATAAAATAAATTCTGCGAATTAGGAATTGTTTATTATTGTTGTGGTTTTATCCGCAACTTTTCTCATCGTGACATTATTTACATTCTTTAAAAATCTAACTTAATATTATTGGTATATCTATTGAAGTGTTTTGTTGAATTTTCTCCAAGTGTATAAATTTAAGGGTTTAGACAGACGGACCACATTTCAACTGCAATCTAACAGCAAATTGCAGTTTGGATACAGTTTAAATGCAGTCTTGTCACGACTGCAATTGTACTGTAAACCAAACGCGCAGCCCGATTACAGTTCTATAGCAGTCATGACCAAACGGTTGCAAACTAAACGTGCAGTCCGATTGCAGATCTATTGCAGTGTGTCAACTGCGTTCAGACTGCATCTGAACTGCAATATGAGAAGTATAGTAAGTTTGTGCATAGCTTATTTTTTACATTTTTGTGATACATGTACAAGTTTGTTAAAAACTATCTTCCTGTCTTTACCAATCATTTGCATTATTTCAAGGCGTGCGAAACGGATAAATCATGTCTAAATTAGTTAATTAGCGTAGAATTGAGAAAAAATTAAATGCTATGTAGGTATTGATCAAACTCTTGCGTGATTCTACAGTTTATCACGTCATTTTAAAACTACATGTTGCACATACAATTACAATCGTTAATTACTTACTATTTTACGTGTTTACAAGGTTGTATCTCTATATACAATTAAATAAACCAATTGACAACATTTCCTTTTTAATCAGCCGAACATGGTACTGGTGGTATGGTTTTTTGTAGTCGGTAAAAATATAACTAATCTTCTGTAGAGAAGGCACATAGTCCAACAGCGAACTATCGCGGACTGGTGAATCCATTTCATTTATTCTTGCACCTAACAGTTTGGTATTTTTTACTAAAATTGTGACAGTACCTTGCCATATAATTTGTACATAATACATACGTGTCTTAATTATATTCTAATTTTATATTAGCGTCATATAACTCATGCTTGACCCCTTTATAATTTATTGAATACCTTGGTTGTTTATGGTCGCTATTGGACACAATGAAAAATGAACCTTTGTCAAGATGAATAGTTGTTTGTGACTCTTTTGCACATAAACTCCTCAGATATTTAGATACAATTTTATTAAAATAGATTATTGTTTTGAATTGTTCTTGTTATTTGTTCGGAACAAACAACAACCTTAGCCCAAGGCAAGTCGCGGAGAACCTAACGGGTAACCGGGGCTCCGGCTCGACGTGCAGGAGAAGGAACGGGGTGGTTTTTAGTCAGTAAGAGTCTGACACTCCCTTCCGCCTCACCCAGGCGGGAGCAGTCATTCGATGATTTTCCCCCCTTAAAAAAAAAGCCCAAGGCAAAGTATTAATGAATTTAAAAAAAAACTCAGTAGTAGCACGGAGTCTAGAAATGTACCCGGATTATAGCAAGAGTCTCACTCCCTATATGTAGTATGCCGTCCCGTTGGACTTATAACATAAATAGTGAAAAGTGGGTGTTTACATTATACAGTGGCATTAAGTGCCGTAATGTATACCTCTGTCTACCCCTTCGGGGATAAAATGCGTGATGCTATGTTACGTTCTGTTACTGTTACAAAAATTAGTCTACACTAACGTTACTCAAATTACATAATACTGCCAGATTCTTCATAAGATTGACGAGATTAGATCACTGATACTTTAAGATTTTATCTCTTATATAATACCTACTCTAATAAATATATTATTTACGCCCAAATACTGAAAGGCTACTTAAATATCGTGCCATCTCTGTCATTTTACAAAGAATTTGTAGAGACAGAACTATACTTAAATGTGACTTATAATTGAGTAGGTAGTCTTTCAGTATACGGGCGTTAATTCTATCTAGATTGATATAATATGTATTCAATCGCCGATGACAATTTATAATAAAAAAATTGTTGGCGGAATATTGTTGAATATAAAACCTTCAAGGTCCGTTTTGATTTGCATGAAGGTTTTATTTAACAAATTATATTTCATTTAAATAATAAAAAGCTATTTTATTATCTTGTTGGTTGATAGTTCGCAAGTGCATCAAGGTCTTGCGAATTCGTATTTTTTTTAGACGAGCATGGTGTATCAATTAATTTTTGGCAATAGATTTATTATGTATGTAGACATAATTGGTACTTATTCTTGAAAGTAAAATTCGTATGATCAAGACAAACCAAATCTTGATCACATTCTTTGTCATTTCGGAAGCCGAAACTCTGTTAGCTTAACTTGATGTAACTGGATCAATGAGTATTAAAACATCTACACTAAAAATAATCGGAACTCTGTTTTCAAATTAGCTGAAATGAATACTACTTTCACTAAAATTAATCTTTATTTAGCCAAAATATATAGCTCTTTTTAGTCTCGTTTTCTAAATTTGTATTAGCACATTCATTCAGACGGTAGGTCAGCAGATGTCCGCAAAAACGTCTTTGTTAGTTTGAAAAGTGAACATCTGTCATTTGTTTTTTTTTTCTTCAAATGATCTTGGCATACGATGTTCTGCCAATGTCAACGACTAATAATAATGGTTCTATCTTGTGTTAGATTGGTTGTTTGATGGACTACGTAATATGTATCTAGTGGCTTTATCTACAGGCATTTGAGACATTAATCTTATGATTGAATAGAAAACACAATTAATTCCTTTAGCATTCTGAATGCTTTCAAATAAAAATATATAAAGGAACCATAAAACTAACGAACATAAAATCTAAATTCGTAAACCATCATTTTTTCACAGCGTTGGCTGGACAGCACGAAATCGGTGAAGAAACAAGTTGGTGCGAACGCTCAATTCTGGTTGGCTGTTCGTTTCTACCCGCCGGAACCTTCCCGATTGGCTGAGGAGTATACCAGATACCTGTTGTGCCTTCAACTTAGGAAGTTGCTGCTTGATGGCAGAATGAATGCTCCGAAGAACACCGCCTTATTGCTAGCTTCGTTCACTGTACAAGGTATGTATCAGTTGGCTGCGCGACGCTCGTCTAAGAGCCCTTAGTGTAGCTTGAAACTGGTTGAGTTAAAACAGTTGAGCCTTAACCATAATTTTATTGTAATATTGAATTTTGGGTATATCGGTTTGCTACGATCTTTCTCATAAACTGTGCCACAATTGTGTGCTTCTCACGTAGCTTTTTGCCTCGCACAACAAAACTGTGGAATGATCTGTCGTCGGCGGTATTTCCGAACCGATACGACCTTCAAGAACAGAGCGTATTCCTTTTTAAAAGGCCGGCAACGCACCTGTGGCTTCTCTGGTGTTGCGGGTGTCCATGAGCGGCGCTGGTCGCTTACCATCAGGTGATCCGTCCCCTCGTCCTAACCATATTCAAGTGAATGTTGGTTAGGACGTAGGTAATACCGACTTCGGTGTGGTCAATTTTACATGTAACAAAAGAAAGAAATACTTAATCTCACATAAATCTCATGTGTATGTATCTGTGGTACACATGTTATAAAAAACAAGAACTACACGATGGATTTAATGTTCCTTGCATGTCATTAGCTGAGCGAATATAATTCTTATGTCTTGTAATTACAGCGTACAATTAAACAGTCCCATTGAACGAAATTACTCATAGTTATTTTTTTTTACTCTTAAAATACGTATACGGTAAGTACGCTTGTATTTTTCGAATGACGTTAGCGTTTGAAGTTTGACGTAGTTAACCACTTAACGTTATTTGTTTTGTTTTTGTAGTAAAGCTAAAACAATAAATAACAACTTCATGTGTGACGTCAATTTTTTTTAAGCATCTCTTTGCCTTTAGCCAAACGCCACTTTAGCTCTTGTCTTCAGAGATAGTAGAAAACTAAGTGTATGGGGATGACTCTGACAAGTGTCAAAATTTACGTCAATTCCATATAATTTGGTTTTCTACTCTATATGTAGACAAGCACTAAATGGCATTTGACTACAGCTGCTTTTGTATTGTAAATCAAACTTTAACTCGTCGAGTACCGGTTTTATAGACACAATTAAAGAACAATAGGTCGCGGTCACCGGTGACCGCTTGGTGTTTGACAGTTTAAAGTCTGAGAGCTAACCTCAACCTACTTGTTTAAAGGTCGAGAGAGAGAAAGATGAAATAATGTATTTTCAAACAAATCGCTAATACTATCTACTTCCGTGCGGATTCCTGCCCTCTGCTCGGCTCCTTTTGATTCTTAACGTGGTGTTTATGTTATCCTATAGCCTTCCTTGATAAACGGACTACCTAACACAAAAGGAATCGAAAATCGAAAATTCAAATCTTACCAGTGGTTCTTGAGATTAGTGCGTTAAAACAATCTCTTCAGCTTTATATAATAGCATATATTATTAGATAATAATGCTATACCTAAATTACCTACCGGTGCTCCGGCTCGAAGCGCAGGAGAAGGAACGGGGTGGTTTTTAGTCAGTAAGAGCCCCGGTAACCCGTTAAGTTATCCGCGACTCCGAATCGGCATCGGCCCTGTTAGGCCCCATCCGTGGTGGTCTGATGAGTCTTTGAGGCGCGCGCGGAACGCGACGCACCGTACGCTCGGGCGCATCATCGTTTACGAGGCGTTTTTTAGGCGAGATGGTGGCCAATCGCCATCCTATGAAGTATAAAAACGGTAATTTTCGCTGGTTGATTTTAATCACCGCATGCCGCTGATTGTTGTTTCTATTAAGGAAACACATATTTTCCTCTATCATTCAAATTGACAATGAATACAGATAATAAATAATTGATCTAAATACACAATTGTTATTCCCGATGACTAGAATAGGTATGCTTTTTGTGAACTAACGTTTTCTCATCTTGTTTAGACTGCAGTTAAGCTAATGTAAACTAAAACAAATTTTTGGAATACCTACACATGATTGAATGGTATCTATTGTTTTGGGTAACTTCTATGCTACGCATACATATGTGAAAAGGTCAATGAACCAACAGATATTTTATTACTCTTATATACATATAGTTATTATATAAAGCTAAAGGGTTTGTTTGTTAGTTTGTTTGAATGCGCTACTCTCAGACACTACTGGTTCGATTTGAAAAAATATTTTTGTGTTAGATAGTCGAGAAAGGCTATAAAACATCACAACAAACGCTACGTCTAATAGGAGCAAAGTAGAACCGGTGCGCGGAAGTAGCAGATTTTATTATATCATAAAGAGCAACAAACAAACAGACAAATGTTTTGTTCGTATAAATTATATCAAAATGCTAGTATTGATTATTGTGTGTAATTTTTTGTATTTAAATTATATATTTCCTTGCTGTGCCCGGCAGGGTCCACAATGATCTGTATTATTCAATGTTACTACCTAAGTTACACATTGTGAAACGCAATAAAGCATTTGTATTTGTATTTGCAAATAAATTTGTAAATGCTAAGCAACTGGCTGCCGCCAACGTGTCGCGGGTTCGATTCCCGCAAGGAACAACTCTTCGTGTGATCCAAAAATTGTTGTTCCGGGTCTGGTTGTCATGTGTATATGATATTGTATGTTTGTAAACGACGACACAGGACATAATCCTAGTGTAAATTAACCGTTTAAAAATCCTAAAGTGGAGCAACGAATAAAAAATATAAACAAACTTTTGTCTAATTTACTAAGTTGTAATATTCCAATCAAATCATTTCTTATGTTATTTTTTTTCTTTTCAGCGGAGCTAGGCGACTATAACGTATCGGAGCATCCCCCAAACTATCTATCCGAGCTCTGCCTCCTGCCGAAACAGAACGCGGAAGATGAGCGTCGAATCAGAGAACTTCATAAGTTGCATAAAGGACAATCACCAGCGGACGCTGAAGCGAATTTCTTGGAACATGCTAAACGATTAGACTGTTATGGAGTTGAGTCGCATCCTGCTAAGGTAATAATTTTAATTTTTCTTACATTTTGTGCAACATAAAGTATATTTTTTGGTTTCAAAATAGTAGTAGTAGATACCTGTTTCGATGGCAGATTGGTCGCAAGTACGACAGCTGGGCAAGGGGTGTCGGGTTCGATTTCCGGGTCGGGCAAAGTATTATTGGCCTTTTTCAAAAAATTCTCAGTAGTAGCACGGAGTCTGGAATTGTGCACGGTATATGGCAATAGGCTCACACCACATTACATGGGACTTATACTGAAAAGTGGGTGTTTACATTGTACAGTGGTATAAAAAAGCCGTAATGTGCACGTGATGTTATGTTATGTTAGATATATATCTAACCGTATCGGATCAAACAATATTGTTTTCGGTACGGTCTTCAAACTTTAAAGAAAAAGCCTTTCCTAACCATTTACAATTCTACTGAGATAATTGCCAACCCACAATTAGCTTTTGACTCATATTTTTGGAATCCATATCTCAGTGTATACTATGAATTCGATAATTGCTATATTTGTACAAATTTATCTAAATTCTAGTTATTGTGTGTAAGTGGTGATTGGTGACCTCACTTGTGAATAACACGGTTAATCTGAAAGTTACCCCAACTTGGTTCACCAGTTACGTATAATTTTATATCAATTAAATTTGGTACCAATCTTGGCGCCAATATTGGTGACTGATTACACAGTAAATGGGGTAGACGACTAATTTTTATTTTAATGTCCGTCTGGTAGATTATTTAAAAACATTAGACACGTATTTTTTCTTTTCTCACAGAAACGAATAGTTTCGAAGATATATTGATTTGAAATGTCGCGTGACGTCACTTCTCAGTACATTTTATACTAAGAAATGACGTTTTAGCCCCCACTCCTAAACTTTGATTCGTTTTATCTAAGTATTGTTTTATTATACGACAAAATAAAAAAATACGTGTCTAATATTTTTTCATTACCTAACTTACGGACTAATTATATTTTTAATTTTCATACCCTGTCATCATCCCCATTATGTTATTAGCCATGGTCGCAGGCAGGGTCTGCAGGGCAACGCCGTCCCTCATACCACTCGTCTCTTCTTCGCGTTCTGTGGACAATCATTTTCATAGGCGTCCAGTTGATCCCGCCTTCACCTTCTCCTCCTACCGCGTTGTCTTCACTATTATTAAATATAATTTACAGTTGTGTCTTCCGAGTTATATTCCTAAAATCGACAATAACAGTTTTTAAAAACCCTATTGTCATTGGGGCTAATATATAATATTATATAGTATAATAGTTACTGTACAGAATCCCAAACTTTGCCTTCAATAATGTCTATAATTCTTTGCCTCTTCAAAACGTCTTCAGATTTAAAATTAATGAGTACATAAACAATATATAAACCTCTATGAACTAACCATTTATTCTTATTTCCAGGATTACAACGGCAAAGACATATTCATCGGCGTCACATCGATAGGTATAGTGGTGTTCCAGAACAATATACGAGTCAACACATTCTCTTGGAGCAAAATCGTCAAGATTTCCTTCAAGAAGAAGCAGTTCTTCATACAGCTGAAGAGAGAACCTGTAAGTATTGAATTAGTTACAAGTTTCATATGATCTAGCTAGGTAGGTCCAATTTCGAGAAGAAAGTCAATCGTCGAATACAACTTGGATGAGCCGCGTTCAGGAAACTACGCAACATCTTCTTGTCCAACATACCTCAGTGCCTTAAGACGAAAGTCTATAATCAGTGTGTGTTACCAGTGATTAACTATGGAACTGAAACGTGGTCTCTCACTGTGGGCCTTATAAAGAAGTTCAAAGTCGCTCAGCGCGCTATGGAAAGGGCTATGCTCGGAGTTTCTTTGCGAGATTGTATAAAAAACGAAGAAATCCGCAAACGAACAAAGATCGCCAACATAGCCCAGCGGATTAGCAATTTGAAGTGGCAGTGGGCTTGGGAAGGTTCTCGAGTGGAGGCCACGTACCGGCAAGCGCAGCGTAGGATGTCCATCCGCAAGGTGGACAGACGACCTCATTAAGGTCGCAGGGAGCCGCTCTTTACCAACTCTTGCCCGCGTTTTCGAAGCAAGCCTAAGTAATAATAATTCACTATCTATCAGTGTACCAAATTGCATTGAAATTCTTTCAGCCATTTAGAAGTCAAAGAGTAACAAACGTACATTCTTAGAAATTATCATATTTTTTATACAACTAGTACGTAGTATAGAATATTATTAAATAAATCATACTTAAATTCAATTGGAGTTTTCTAATTTGTATTATGAATCATTGGAGCAATTAATAATAGGTAAATTTATTATTGTTCGTTGGTGGTTCTACCTTTCCTCATATTACAACCATATGTATTTGTAGACTGACCTATTTTCCCTTTTTAGTAAAGTTAATGTTACATTTGAATCGAAAAATAAATGCGTTATAACATACAAGAATGGTATTGAAAATATTATTTCTATGCTACATTTAATTAAATTTAAATAAAAACCAATAAACTGATCTGGATGAAATTATGCAAACAGATATAATAATCTTGTTTTATAGTCTGGAACTAGATTCTGCCAGCGGTCCTTTAGTATAAAAAGTAGTATAAGTGTTATTCCATAATCTATCTCAGTTCCAAAGTTCATCTCAATCCCTTCAATCGTTCTGACGTAATGAAGTAACAAACATACACACAAAATCACAAACTTTTACATTTGTAATATTAGTATGATAATATAATTATAATGACTGACTCGTTGGTCGCAAGTGCGACTATATCGGATCCGATTCACGGATCGGGCGAAGTAATACTGGTTATTAAAAAATCTTAACAGTAGCACGGAGTCTGGAATTGTACCCGGTATATGGCAATAGGCTCACCCCCTGTTACATGGGACTCATAACATAAATAGTGAAAAGTGGGTGTTACATTGTAAAGTCGCATTAAGCGCTGTAATGTACACCTCTGCCTATCCTTTCGAGGATAAAAGGCGTGATTTTATGTTATGTTATGATAGTAAATATGATAACCGCCATTCAGATAAAATTGCTTTAACTTCTAGTTGTACCTATAATTTTCTTAAATATAATTTCTATTTCCACAGTCGGAATCATACGACACAGTCCTCGGTTTCAATATGCGGTCTAGTCGAGCGGCTAAAGCGCTGTGGCGCTGCAGTGTAGAAAGACACGGTTTCTTCAGACTACGAGCACCGAGACGACGAGCGCTTTTAGCAGCGCTGGGAGCGCTGGCTGGGTTGGCTGCACCCACTGTACCTAGAACTGAGACGATGGCGTTGGAAGACGCGAGACGATCGAGATCGACTAATAGGAGTTTTGTTAGGTGAGTTCTTGGTCAGTTCTGTAGCATATAAAAAACCGACTTTAAAAAACAAAATGTCAAAACTAAAAAGCAAAAATAACTATTATTAGTACCTACTGATAGGTTACCCACCCACTAATAGGTCAGAAGTCTGCGCCTTACAAGTACCTCCTTCTTTTTTTTAAGTCGGTAAAAATAGCTTGCAATGATGATGACTACCATAATTTCATACGTGCTTCTTTTCTTATGTCGCCATAACCTACGATCAGGTGTATTACCTGATGGTAAGCAATCGCCGCCGACCATAAGCACCCATAATGCTAAATAAGTTACAAGTGTGTTGACGGCCTTCTTCGGAGATTTGTATCTCCGGTAACCTCACTCACATCACTCACATCTCACATGTAAATTTCATGTCGGTTTTCTGAGGCTCTGATATCCCTTCAATCGAGCCAGCCATATATAAAACATAAAACCTTGTTTACCAGGCCTTATAGATGTTTGCTATCATTTCAATTGACTGTGTGCTAATGTATTGTAGTTGTACGGTTTACGTACATTCGTGTCGCGACATCAAGCTAAGTAAGCATATTGATCGTTTCACTTAGTTCGTAACAATTATTAAAACTGTCTTCAGTGTGTGTACAACAGCCAACGTAACACAAGCGTATCTGTGAGAATCATTAAAACTATTACTAAACTGCAACTGGTGGATAATAAACCTTCTATATAACCAAGTGAAGAGTAGTCATTCATCACCACACTCAACAATCAACTCAACCAACTGAACTCAACTAACGGTAGTGTACGGGCAAACTAAACCCGTACAGTAGTATTATTTCTATATTTTTGTATGTAATTATCTTCCAGACGCAGTAGTTCCCGTCCCCGCGAGCGTTCAGTAGGCATGTCTCCCGCGAGTGGTATGCGAGGCTCCCGCGTCACTGCGCATTGTGAACCCGCGCCTCGACCTGCCTGGGGAGACCTTGATAGACCTAGCTCCGATATCATGTATGTATACTATATTAGCCATACGTGTGTATAAAGAAGCGATGTCATTCGTAAGTTCCGTATGTAGAAGAATTTGTATTAAGTCACAAATAAGTAAGTAAATAAGTCATTGTCTTAATGGAATAAAACTATAGCTATCTGCAATAGAAACTTTAAAGTTTAACTTAAGTAAACTATTCGAGGATGTCCGACTACTTTCGACCAATACTGGGGTTCATAATCATTTGTCACAATTGTTCTTATGCAGAAATGACCTACTTATAGCAATTGTTTTTGTGTAAAAAAATAACTGTTAATTTTCAAAATTACAGCGAAGGAGATTTCTTAGAACGAGTCCTCCGTATCCCCCTATCCTACGTGGACGAATCAGAGTCCGGTTCAGAAGGGGCGGAGTCTGCGGAGTGTGGGGGAGTAAGAGTCCGCTTAGAGGCTGGATCTGACGGACTGTTCGGGTTCAATGTTAGAGGAGGGGGCGCTGCGCCTGTACTAGTCTCCAGGGTCGCCAGTAGGACTAGATTACAGTTGCAAGAAGGGGATCAGGTAACAGAAACTTTTACTTATAGAAAAGTCCACATTCCCAACTGTATCTTCTGTGGTTAATCAAGGTCTAATCTGGATATTTTAGCTGGTCTTTACTGGTATAAAAACAGACGTTGATGACAAAATTCATGTGTTTTGTATTTGAATTACTATATACTTCTTTCGTAAGAAATAGAATAAATTATACATTCAGTTCAAAATGAGCCTTTATTTTACACTCATTAGTTAACAAAATATATGAACATAATTATAAACTCATGTACTTATAATTTCAGGTGATATCGATAAACGGGACGGACGTGGACGAACTGACACATGAACAAGTCGTGCAATTAATTAGAAACACGAGAGGTGTCTTGACATTGGTCGTAAAACCCAATGGTGAGTCACTATTTTTACACAAAAAACAATAGAATTTTTATTCAGACACCAGTTCAACCAAATACTACAAATTGCCAAAACTTTTATTCCGTTTTTAACCTTAAAACTTTGCAATATAATCCAAAATCGATTACACACTTGTACAAAATCGTCCTATCAACTATTTTCTCCTTCCAGCTGTCTACGCTCCCGAAGATCCAGGCGCAGAAGAGCCAGAAGCATGCTTCGTGCCTCTCTTCTCGGAAGGTGACTCCAGACCAGAAGGGGACGCTCTAGAACAATCCATTCTGTTGCTAGGCGACGGACTGGCCAGTGGGAACGCGCTCAAACAATATGAGACTTTACTGAGAAGGTTACCAGACGAACCGACGAATATATCGAAACTGCCTTGCAATTTGAACAAGAATCGATACAGGGACATTGCGCCTTGTAAGTTATCTTATAAATTATATTTTTCAATAACATAACATCACCTCTTTTATTCCCGAAGTCGTAGGCAGCGGTGCACATTACGGCACTTGATATCACTATACAATGTAACACCGACTTTTCTCTATTTATGTTATGATTCCCGTGTAATAGGGGCTGAACTTATAGCCATATACCGGTTACAATTCCTGAATCAGCGATGTATTCCTAACACTGACATTTTTTTAAAATACCCAATAATACTTTGCCCGATCCGGGAAACGAACCCGAGACCCCTTGCCCGGCAGTCACACTTGCGACCACTCGGCCAACGAGGCAGTCATATAATTCTTATTAGTTACATTTGTCAATAAACGTCCTTATTACATTTTATTTGCTTAACCACCAATTAGCATAATCAGCAAATTTGCATTCCATCATCATCCATTCCATCATAGTCCTAATATAATGCGACAGAGTAATTTTACATAAAATTAACTTTTACATGCCAAAAATTAAAAATAGAAGTATACTTATTTTCTACTCATTACTATAAAGTACTCGTTGTATATATCTTACCTAGCTATATTTAACAAACTATGTCGTACGTATCCTTCGTGAACTCACTTAACGTACAGATGAATATATCTATATTATCCGCCACTGTGTCAGATATGGCTTAAGTACGCTTCTAATGTCGGAATACTCAAACCCTACTCAATTTTAAGTCGTGCTTAAGTATAGTTCTGTCTCTACAAATTCTTTGTAAAATGACAGAGACGGCACGATATTTGAGCACGACTTAAAATTGAGTAACGTTTCAGTATTTCGGCATAAGTCCTCTAAAGACTTGATAATATATTTTACTTGCTTTTGTCCGCGACTTCGTACTCGCGATCCCTTTTCTCACGTTCCCGTAGGATTTTCAGGATTTTTTTAAGTCATTAAAAACTTTTGTTGATAATAACAAATACAACAAAAAAAGATTTAGTGAAATCGGTCCAGCCATAGTATAAAGAACACAGTAGGTTATCTAAGGCCGCCCGCCGAGTTATTAGCCTACTCTTGCGTTGATCCCCAGGGTTGTCACTTTTACTTTTTGTTAATATTTTCGAACAAGCAGCACTTGATCTAAATTTATGAAATGAAAAGCATATTATGATTATTTTATCAATTTATAAATTTAGTAAAAATAAAAAGCTTATAAAAAGATTATTAACTTCTTAAAATAAACTTTAGCTCTATACATAGTATTCAGAAAGTAAATTTGGGAATACATTTATACGGAAAAATGCGACACGGCCACGCTCTTAACAAATCAGATAAACTGTGAAATAAACAATATAATACCACATTTTCTTATAATATTTAAGTATAGTAGTTAGTAGGTAATTCTTCTTTCTGGTTGAGTAGTAACTATGAAGAATGATAAGAGTAAAAATAAGTAAGTAGGTATCTCATCATCAAGTACCTACAAATTATATTATGCTAGAAAAAGTGACTAGCTTACCTTTCCTGTTCAATAGGTACTTAATCTGAACAGAGACAGTTCTGGAATCGATTAATTATTAAGACACCCAAACACACAGCAATACGTTCTTCTACGGTTATCAGACATTTTTTATTTCATTTAACAGTGCCGAAAAGTGATGCGCGCGCGAACCTCGTGCAGTGTTAGCCCTGCCTGGCGCACTGAGAAACGGGTCGAGATTTTGTTAAAGTGTGCGTGCGTCGACGCATAGATACTATGGCGCACACATATAAGCCGCGCGCGGAGCATTTGTATGAAGATAACCTACTCTGTTCTTTATACTATGGTCCAGCCATTCACGCGTGATGCCGTGACTAAGACAAAAACGGATTCATTTTTATATGTATAGATTACAATAAATTAATTGATTGAGTACATACATACATACATAACTTCACGCCTGTCTCCCATGGGGGTAGGCAGAGACTAAGGAACGCCAATTACTACGATTCTTACATACCTCTTTCGCTTGAGTGATTACAATTACATTGTTTTACATTGATTTAGTGTTCTTTTGAAATGACTTAATAAAAGTGCTTATAAAGATAAAATGTTTCTTAACTACCAATTGTTTTTTTCCAGATGATTCAACGCGAGTGATATTAAAAAATGGACCAACAGGCGACTATATCAATGCATCTTATATCAACATGGAGATACCGAACTCCGATACAGTACTGACTTATATTGCAACGCAAGGTTTGTATTCTTAAATGCACACACTATTACAAAAGTATTCTTGGTATTTTTTATGGGATTAGCCGGTTAACGAGCAGACGGATCACCTGATGGTAAGCAATCGGCGTCGCCTATGGACACCTGGAACACCAGAGGCGTTACAAGTGTGTTACCGGTCTATTAGGAATTAGGAATTTGAGGATTAGGTATTAGGGATTTAAGAATTGGGGAGATTGAGAAGGGTAATTGAGCTTCTGGTAACCTCACTCACACGACGAAACGCAATTCAAGCGTAGTTTCACGTCGGTTTTCTGTGAGGCCGTGATCGCTCCGGTCGAGTCGGCCCATTCGTTCCAAAGCTCTCCCATACTTATAGTATTGTCTGTCTTGGAACATTATTCTTATACTTCTTAAGGTCAATATAATAAGTTGTTTCACGTGGGTTACCTATGCTACGACACGAATGGGCTGGCTTACCCAAAGCGATACAGCGGCCTCACAAAACCTGGAGTGAAACAACGACTTCGTTGTGTTTTGCCGTGTAAGTGAAATCTCACTTACACGCAAGCAATCGCTGATGTGAAATCTAAATCTACAAATCCCTAGCTCCCATAGAATTTGCAACGCACTTTTGACTCCTTCGATGTTGCAGCACTGATTGCTTCCCATCAGATGACCGCCTGTCTTTGCTGTGTAAAATAAACTTCAATACGAAATTCTCTCTTCTCAGGTCCTTTATCAACAACTGTAGGCGACTTTTGGCAAATGGTTTGGGAATCAGAAAGCAGTCTTATAGTAATGCTGACAGTACTGACGGAGCGAGGCCGCGCCAAGTGTCACCAATATTGGCCCAAAGTTGGCACCACTCCACTAAAGGCCACCAACGATCTCACCATATTCACCAACAGTGAACAGAACCACGGACATTATATTAGGAGAGAAATGACTATTAAGGTATGTTGCTTTACTGTTTTATTTAAGACAAGTAATAATTTATGATGGTCGTGGTGGCCCGGAGGTTTAAGACGCCCGCTTCTCACGCATGAGGATGCAGGTTCGAAACCTACCAACGGCAAGTACCAATGTGACTTTTTCCGAGTTATATGTACTTTCTAAGATTATTTAGACACCACTGACAAACGGTGAAGGAATAACATCGTGAGGAAACCTGGCCTTATAATTTCTGATTATAAGTTTGAAATCGCCAACCCGCATTGAGCAAGCGTGGTGATTAATGCTCAAACCTTTTCCGTGTGAGAAGAGGCTTTGCTCAGCAGTGGGCATTTATAGGCTGTTGATGATGATGAATAATTTATGCTAAGTTTTAATAAGAAGAGACTTTGAAGTATGTATAATATGGACAGCAAGTCCTTTGCACCCACATGTTTTGAAATTTCGTGGTATTTGTGACAATTTTAAAACATTTACTTGGTCGTCGTAGCTGTTTATCGCTTCGATTTAAAGCCGGCTCCATGAGCCACCCAATCAGAGCGCTGAACACGGTCTTGTTTCGATCTATTTAAATGTAAAAAAACTCGCACTAAAGCCCTGTTACTTCCTTATTCTATTGGCTTTACGGCGTTAATCGCTTGCCATCAGATGATCCTTCTGCTCATAATGACTTTCATGTTCCATTCCACTTTTCGATCAGCATTTATATTCATTATATTTACTATTGCCTACTACATAACATAACGCAGTTTATCTCCAAAGGAGTACACAGAGGTGCACATTACAGCACTTAATGCCACTGTACAATGTAACACCCACTATTCACTATTTATGTTATGAGTCCCATGTAATAGGGGGTGAGCCTATTGCCATATACCGGGCACGTTTCCAGACTCGCGGGCTACTACTGAGATTTTGAAAAAACTCGATTCCTGGGTTGGGCCAATTAGGGGTATTACTACACTTTTTTTTTAAGAGGGGAAAATCATCGAATGGCTGCACCCGCCTGGGTGAGGCGGGAGGGAGTGTCAGACCTCTTACTGACTAAAAACCACCCCCTTCCTTCTCCTGCACGTCGAGCCGGAGCCCCGGTTACCCGTTAGGTTCTCCGCGACAAGTATTACTATACTTGGCCCGACCCGGGAATCTTGCGACCACTCGGCCAATGAGGCAGTCATGGCCTACTGTTAATCATAGGTCTGATACTGTCCCCCCAGGAGAGTAGCGGAGCATCTCGCGCAGTCTGCCAGCTGCAGTACACTGCGTGGCCGGACCACGGCGTGCCGGACGACGCGGCCGCATTCATCAGCTTCACGCAACTATGCTCACAGCTACGGAACCGGAGACCTAGTCAGTAACACTACTTTTATACTTTCAAAATAACTTAGAACTATTAAAACAGATGTATCTATACTAATATTATAAAGCTGAAGAGTTTGTTTTTTTTGTTTGTTTGTTCGAACACGCTAATCTCCGAAACTACTTATTCGATTTGAATAATACTTTTTGTGTTGGATAGTGCATTTATCGAGGAAGGCTATAGGCTATACATTTATTTGGATAAAGATTAATATTATTATGTTGATACAAGTCTAAGAAATAAATGTTAATAATTTCGACCAAATTAATTACCATAAAAGCGGTTTTTGTGAGTTAATCTTAAAAGATAGACATATACTGTTGTGGACTTTATGTAGATAATTTTTTCATACATATATTTTGTGTATCTTGAACTGTATTCGCAGCGCACGCAACGGAAGCCCTCAAAGATGAATAACTTCCCCCGTTTTTTATACATTTATCACGGTTCCTTCGCTCCAGCTTCATAGATTTTAAATAATATTTGTACCTCCACAGTGATACCGACAGTAGTAGAGCCCGAAGAAGGCGAAGAAGAGCGCGAGCTGGACCCCCCGATGGTGGTGCACTGCTCGGCGGGCGTCGGGCGCACGGGCGCGCTCGTACTCTGCGAGGTGGCGCTGGCGCTGGCCGCGCGCCGCCAGCCGCTCTACCCGCTCGACCTCGTCCGCGCCATGCGCGCGCAGCGACCCATGTGCATACAGAACGCGGTACGTACTCACTGCGACACACGCCTTGCTACATACATACATACTCTGCGAGGTGGCGCTGGCGCTGGCCGCGCGCCGCCAGCCGCTCTACCCGCTCGACCTCGTCCGCGCCATGCGCGCGCAGCGACCCATGTGCATACAGAACGCGGTACGGCACCCACTACTAGTTATTTTATGGGATAAGCGAGCAGACGGATCACCTGGTGGTAAGCAACCGGCGCCGCCCATGGACAATCGGAACACCAGAGGCGTTACAAGTGCGTTACCGGCCTTTTAAGGATTAGGAGTATGAGGATCGTAAGGGATTCGGGGATTGGGTAAGGGGAGGGGAGTAATTGGGCCTCCAGGAACCTCACTCACACGACAAAATACAACGCTGTTGCTTCACGTCAGTTTTCTGTGAGGCCGTGGTATCACTCGGATTGAGCCGGCCCATTCGTGCCGAAGCATGGCTCTCCCACAATAAAAAGTTTGTTTTATGTTAAATTAATCGACGTTGTGCCACGACGAGACATAATAATATGCTGTTTACCGAGCCCTATTTATTGTACAGTATTACTGCTTCCTAATTGATGAAAGCAGTTAACGTGTTTCTTTCTCAAGGTGTAATAAAAGTATTTCTCCAAAAATTTAATCAAAAAATCTTCTTCCACAGAGTCAGTACAAGTTCGTATGTGAAAGCATACAGACTGCGTACACGCAAGGACTGACGAAGTCATCTTCAGAGAACGGATCGAACTGATTAATAAGATAACTCCCTTGCCAATTATTGTACAGTCGACTATATACCTGACTGATCGTATTAAGGTATGTATGTGTTCATTAGTATACGCTAAATCGTGAATTGGACCTTAAATCTAGTTTGTTAAGGTAGTAATTTGTGTGTGCAATATTTTACACTAGAGTTTGATTGTAGTATTAAGGATTTTTGTAGTAGACTTATTGAACAAAGTCTTGCTCTAATAAAACTTGATACTTGATTTGTAAAAAAATGTTTCAAATTACATTTTGGACAATATGAGATGTTAAGAACTTGCACAAATTATGCACAAGAATGTGTTTCAAATTCTGTGCCCTGAAGTGTATTATTTGTTTAAATATCTTTCAGTTGACGAGAATATTTTTTATTCTTTCTTTTGATCTGTATGCATTTTTGTTTATTTGGCGTATACTATGAACACTGAATGAAATAACAGTGTGTTCATGGTTTCAAGTAGTTAAACAACTTTTTACATGATATAAAATGCTGTGTAGTCAGAAGAAAAAACAATCTTTAATATGTTGGGGGATACGAGAAAAATCTGTATATTATGTGCAATGTGTTATAGAAATACATGCAATGTAATGTGAAATTATACTTGTGTAATTCTATTAATTCGTTTGCGCAAATTGCATCACATTTTTGCGCAATGATTTACAGGTTTGCGCAATTCCGTTGAGTAATTAGCGCAACTGTGTAAGAAGTAAAGCGCAACTTGTCTTTCGATTGCGCTAATATTCGACGATTACAACGTAGCATATTTTCCTTGTATCCTTTAACAATTGATTAAAGAAACAATTTTCTATAAACTTTAGTAATTTGTATTTATTTCTAGTATATTTTCGACCAGTGGTTTGTAATTGTTAATTTATAAATTTTATAAAAAACATTCGTTTCACTATGTTATTCGACATTGATTAACATCTCGAATAATATTAATCGATACCACATATCACTGTTAACGTTAAGATTAAATTTTAATTTACAATTTATTATTTATTTTTAGTTTTTAGTTTTCTTAACGCTTGCTGTGATTTTTCATTACACATAAATGTAATGATATGAATCTAAAATAATAATAATTATATAGTCTTGCCTTTCCAACGAATTTAGTAATTTATTTGATACGAATTTGTATAATTTGTTAACGTATTTAAGATTTGAATGGTGACGAGTTTATCGTGGTAAATAGCTGGAAATATGAACTAACTACATTATGACAAACCCTCTTATCCAAAACTGGTCATGGGTCATGTCAATGATGATCTAAATTATATTCTCTTTCTCTTTTTAAAATGACTCCCCACACTAAGATTTTCTCCTGTGTCGTGGGTGCGTTTACAAACATACAATTTCACATGCACATGACACCCAGACCCGGAACAACAATTTGTGGATCACACAAAGCGTTCCTTGCACGGTAGTTGCCCAGCCACTGCGCCAACCGTGCAGTCTAACTTATCTATAGACTTTTTGATTCTAACTATAATGGTCTAGTAGGCAAAATAGCAAATTGGTCAAGATGTCTTCGCATCGCTTTAGTCCCACGCCTATGAGAATAATAATATTACATGGGACTCATAACATTACTGGAAAAAGAAGGGTGTTATGTTATTCGTACGCCTCTGTCTTACGTTATAACGAAATAGTAGAAGTTCATCAATAGCTAATTACCATGATCTGCTTGTCACCCACAAAAATGTATTAAAATCGCTTCTTTTCCTGTGCCATTCGTAAAATAATAATAAGAATAATGTACATTTATAATTTTTAATTAATATATTTTTCAGAAACAATATATTTTATGTTATTTTGTATCTAAAATCCGGTATACAGTAATTTTAACTGTAGTTTAGAGTTTTACTGATATTAATAGGGACCCAAGTTAATGGTAACATGTATTATCTATGATGATTATGAATGTAAGTTATCTATAAGTCGATAATACGTAATTTTATTAATAAAAATATGGTATTTTTGCACCCTTTCACATTTGGTGTCGTGTTTGTATTTTAAAATAATCTTTTATTAGTAATATTTTCGTAATACTAATCGTTTGTCAAATAAAAATAATCTATAGATACTATCAGTCTGTCAGTAATGTCTTACGATCAAAAATCAAGAATCAAAAATAATTTACAATTTTAATCTAACTACAATTTTGAACTAACACTCCTTAGTTTATAGCGAATTTCTCTAATCGGTTACGTAATGAAGCTCATATAGTTATATATATGACAAATTTTTACAAACGATATTTAAAAAAGAACTATTATCGTAAATCTACATTTTAAACCTTAAAGCAATAAACACCATATTCAATTTACCTAAACATATCATACCGTAGGTATATATTAATATGAAATGAATATAAAACTGTTTTTGTAACGAATGTAAGTAAAGTAATCGGTATTTATAGACCGGGTCACATATTCAGGAAATTGGTTTAAACATATAATTTTATAGGTAAGTAAAAATACAATTTTGTTGTGAAATTATCTAATAAGAGGAAAAGTAATGAGCTATTTACTCTTTTTAATGTCTAGACTGCATAGTTGTAAACCACACGTGGGAGAGTCATGCTTCGTCACAAATGAGACGTCTCGACTGAAGGTAATACCATGACCTCAGAAAACCGGCGCGAAATAACACTTGCGTTGTGTTTCGCCGTGTGGGTGAGTTCTGATGGTCCAATCCCCAATTCATGTCGCAGAGAACCTAACGGGTAACCGGGGCTCCGGCTCGACGTGCAGGAGAAGGAACGGGGTGGTTTTTAGTCAGTAAGAGTCTGACACTCCCTCCCGCCTCACCCAGGCGGGAGCAGTCATTCGATGATTATCCCCCCTTAAAAAAAAACCCCAATTCATTCCTCTGGTAACATGACTTACCATTGTTATTTTAGTGATTGCTTACCAACAAACTTGGTCTTGTTTATCAATTACTAGCTTTTACCCGCGGCTTCGCTCGCGTCACAAAAGGATAAAAAGTAGCCTATGTGACATATACCAATACACACAGCGCTATCTGTACCAATACTTTTGTTTTCTCTCGGGAATATCAAATTTTTCCGGATTCAAAAGTACCCTATTATTTAATCCGGACTTCTAACTTTACGTCTGCAAAAATTCAAAGCAATCGGTTTAGTAGTTACGGCGTGAAAGTAGAACAAACAAACAAACCCACTTTACGATTTATAATATTAGTAAAGATGGGGTCAAATGTACCTATTTCTTAATATGTGACCTAAATATACTGTGCCTATAACATTAAGCGATGGTTGCCATAATTTAAACTAAATAACTCGATTTAGTATACAATTTATCGAACTAGTTTTAATAGTTTAAGAAGGAAATCTTACATTACATACATACGCAGGAATCCCCTATAATATATTATTATAATTTCTAAGATTTAAACTGCATTTTTTGTTCAATAACTTTTGACTAAGCATTTTAAGTTTTTACTTGCACTAATTTGCATTTTGATGGACTTGTGCACACTACATAATTTTAATTCTAAGTATTTCATTCAGAACTAAACAAAACTTATTTATTGTATTAATTAAGCACTAAATCACTTAACAAGAAATATTTTTATTTTACACAAAGAGTTTTCGCACAGAAACTAAACAATATTGTACCTACTTTAGTTTCTCGTTTCATCAATGTTCAAACTTATTTTTCTATTTCAATTTTTATATATAGATAAGATAGTTGTGTTTTTAATTTATTGCTTTGTTTATAGGCTTTTATTACTATTCGCTTATGATGAAAATGATTAACTCAACAATTCAAGTTCAACAGGTTTATTTTAAAACCAAGATCAAAATATAAATATGCCACTTGGCTGCGTATTAAGACGACGCGATACATGTAGCAAAGGATATTTGCGTTTCGAATTGAACATTTTAATGTATGTATGATGATACTGTTCAATATTGTATTGGTCAATAGACCAATAGCTACGTTAGCGCCCCTAGTAGCAAGAAAGCCCTCGTCGTAAAACTTATAAAGCCGATGACCGTAACTAAATTATAGCATCGGTTAACCTCTTTATCTTATACAGAGTGACTTGTAACTCGACCTATTCCTTTAAGGAGGTGATAATACAACTAATTTCTTACAAAAATAACCACTAACCCAGAAAACTTTTGGTGAAAAAATCCCGTTTGAAGTACAAAAACATTAATAAATAAAAACTACTTATTTAGTGGTAGCCTCTTTCGGACCAGAGACGTTGTATCATCATATTCCGAGAGGAATATGTGGAGTTACAAGTCACCCTTTACCCTTTAACAGTTTTTTTTTTTAAACCAACTGATTTTGATATGGCTATGATATTAAAATTAATGGAGTTTTCTAACTAAATTATGTTTATTAATTTAAATTTTAAATTAATATTAGATTTGTGTGAATGACTGATGTAGTTATAAGTGTTGTATTGTTCAATTATTTTGTAGTGTCGATTCTAATGTACCCCAATGTAATGTTTTCTATCTTGTGATGTATATGAAGTGCTGTGCGTTTTATTTCATGTCAAATAAAAGTTTATTGATTTAATTTTGTATATTTCTTTTACACTTCGATACGACCTTCAAACCTTCAAGAAAAGAGCGTATTCCTTTTTAAAAGGCGGGCAACGCACCTGTGACTCCTCTGATGTTGCGGGTGTCCATGGGCGGCGCTGATCGCTTACCATCAGGTGATCCGTCTGCTCGTTTGCCTCCTATTCTATAAAAAAACTTTTTAACCGACTTAAAAAAAGGAGGAGGTTCTCAATTCGACCGTATATATGCTTTTATTAATGAGCAGTTGATCGGATGGCCATAAACGCAAATATTGAGAAACGGTCGAAATAAAATAAACACCTTCACCCAAAATCTCTGAACAGCTTACTCTTGAAACCAATCTCAATGTCA